ACTGGATAGCGGTGCTGCGCGCTCCCAGGGAGCGGGCACAGCTAGAAAAGGCGGGTGCCGTTTATGAACGGCAACCCGCCCCTGGAGTGCCACTGCCCTGCCGTTTATCAACAGCAGGCGACGGCAAGAGGTTAATAAGGGTTTGCACCTTTGGGAAGTGGGTGCCTGAATTTGACAGCTACCCGCTCCCACTTCCGCTGCGTTCACCTGCCAGTTTATCCCAAAGGTGTTCAGTAAGATTGAAGTCAGGGCTCTGTTCAGGCCACTCAAGTTCTTCACATCAAACTCATCATCAAGCCATGTCATTATTATTATTGTAATTATTATAATTTATTATTGTAATTATTATAATAAAGGATTTATATGGCGCCAACAGTGTGTGCAGCGCTTTACAAAATGAAGGCGGACATTACAGTTACAATACAATTTGGTTCAAGAGGAAACGGAGGACCCGGCTCGTTAGAGCTTACATTCTGAGAGGAAGGATTGAGTGATACAAAAGGTAATAGCTGTGGGGGGGATGAGCTGATGGAGGAAATAAAAAGCAGTTTATTAGTTAGAAGCAGGATAGGCTTCTTTCACCACTTCCCGTCCGGCCCATGTACATAAATGGCCAGACGGGAGCAGTGCAGGAGCCGGTTGCCGTACATAAACAGCGCCCCCATATTTACAGCTTGTGCGCGCTCCCAGCCTTTATGGGTGTAAAAGCATTCAATGTAAAAAAAAAATCTTCACCCCCCACAAGTAGTAAAGTGTCATTATGGTGACACTGTACTGCTAGGGTGACAGTATGTAAGGAAAAAAAACAAACAAATATAATTAAAGAAAAGTAGAGATGTAAAAAAAATTTGTGAAATTATTTTTGGCTATCAACTAATTTGGGTTGTTTTTGGGTTTTTTTTACTAAAAAAGTTGAATACATTTTGGCCATTATTTATGAAGAAAGATTTATTTGCAAAATTTTATAAGAAAAACACTAAAAAAAAAAAAAAAGATTTTTTCATTTAGCATAAAAATAAAATTCCCAGTGGTGAATAAATACCACCAAAATAAAGTCTTATCTGTCTCTAAAAAAATTTGTATGGGTACAGTGTTGCATGACTGCGCAATTGTCATTCAAAGTGCGATAGCGCTGAAAGCTGAAAATTGGCCTGGACAGGAAGGGGGTAAAAATGTCTGGACTTGAAATGGTTAAAGAGAAGGGTTTTCAGGGATCGTCTAAAGGATAGACTAGGAGATAGTCTGACAGATTGGGGTAGGGAGTTCCATAGGATGGTAGGAGGTTACACGGGAACTAAAGAGTAAGGTCTTGGGAGGAACGAAGAGAGCGGTTTGTTTGATATTTTGAGACCAGGTTGGTGATGTAGCTGGGGGCAGAGTTGTGGATGGCTTTGTAAGTTGTTGTTAGTATTTTGAATTTTTTTTGTTAGGCGAGTGTAAGCCAGTGGAGGGATTGGCAGAGAACTAGCTTTGTTTGGCTTTTATGGAGCTGGATTTGTTTACAGGGGCACAGCCAACAGAAAAAGGCCTTCACTAAACTGTGAGCACAAGGTCGGAGAAGTGTCCCCATTCTTTTGCCAAACAGTGTAATTACCTGGTTACTCTTCCTTTTTTTTTTTTTTTGCTGGTTCCACTGAACATTGATTCCCAGGCTACCTTTGTTTAAGCTCTTGGCGCCGGCTGAAAGCAAATGGGCGGCATCTGGGCCTAGACGCCGAGCGGCCGCACATTTGCGTTTGTGTTAAATAAAGGAAAATGTGCTGAGAGCTCCTGCCCTGCGCTCTCCCAACACACATGTCCGGTACTCACGAAAAGGTCCCGATCTCCTCTTTCGATCGGGACCTTTCCCAATCATGTGACCGCCACGACGGTGAATCACGGCGGTCACATGACCCTAAACCCCGCCCTGCCTCCTGGCTTCTGAAACCCTTAAAGGGCCAGGAGGCGCCGGCACCAAGGGGTTAAATATCCGTTATTTTTTTTGTATCTTGTTTCTCACTAGATCACTCTTTTGAGTCGGAGATCAACTGCAACAACCCTCTAGGAACCGGCGGTCGTCTGGCAGTTAGTTTTGCCGTGTTGTTAAGAGCTCTGTGGAAGGGCACACATCATGCCTTCCAGCCATCTAAGCTGAAGGTAGGTATCCGTATCTTGACTATTTTTTTTTTTTTTTTTTTTCCCCTAATAAATGTTCCCTCGGTGAGGTGTGTTAGAACAGATATTTGTGCCATTATTTATATCTTTCTGTATTGCTAGTACAACAGGATTTCCACAAAGAAACCAGATTGTTGGTGACTTTGCATTTCTGTGATCCTAAGGCTACGTTCACACTAGCCTTGTGTGCAGGCGGCAGAGAGGCGTTTGGTAAGCGTTTTTACCGCTTCCCAAACGCCTCTGCCAATTCTGTTCATTACAGCACATGGTGCTGTTCTAACGGGAGCGTTTGCGTCGCGTCGCGGCAAAACGGACTCCTCTGGACGAGTCAGGAGGCTTTGAAGCCTCCTATTCTCGTCTATGGTGCTGCTCCGCAAACTCCCGGCCGGCGTTTGCGGTGCGGTTGCGACGCGGTTGCGGGGCGTTTGCGGAGCGGTAACACCACTCAAACTGCATTATAGGCGTTTGTGGGGCGTTATTACCGCTCGGTAAACGCCTAGCAACCGCCGCTAAACCGCGCATGCGGCGTTTGCGGAGCGTTAATAACGCTCCGCAAACGCCGGACCAACGCTTGCCAAACGCTATAGGGGCGTTTGGCAAGCGTTGGCAAAACAGCCTAGTGTGAACGAGCCCTAACTGTATGCAGAATTGTTGAAAGGAGAATTATAGTTGTAACTGATCTACAGTGTTCAAAAATAAATATAGGGTTCCTCCTGCGCTTCTCTATGGGGATCAGTATGCAGATAAGCAGCCAGCACGCTACCTTAAACCTTGTAAGTAAATGAGCAAACAATAAAAGTAATAGTGCAGCGCTAATGCATATTAAAGTAAAATAAAAATATATATATATATGTATTGTTATTTTATTTTAATATGCATTAGCGCTGCACAGGCTAAATCTACCAAAGGAGCCCAAGGGTTTATATTTCTGTTCAGTCCTCACAAATCCTTGTCACGCTCTGCAGCTCTTGTCTGGTAGGCAAGGAGACCTGAATTTTCTCCGCTACAATTAAAGCACTATTAAATCCAAAACCAAACATTTAATATATTGCAGTTTACCAATTATTGGATGTGGTGGCTGTATTAGTTTTCATCTTTTTCCCTCTGTTTTCACTGGCTGATCTGACCGATTAACACGCCTCCTGTATTTGAGCACCCCCACTCTGGATGAAGGAGCTATAGAGACACCTTTCAGCAGCAGCAGCATTTTCAGTCTGTGGGGAGGGTAGTGGAGGGTAGTGTTAGATGCACTAGCAGATTTAGATACGCTAACAAATGTAGGCCAGGCTCCAACTAACACTTTTTTTTTTAGAGATAAAGGTTTTACATAAAAGCTGACCATTGTAAGTCAGTGATTATTTATTTCAGGTACTTGTATAGCGCCGTCAATTTACGCAGCGCTTTACACACACACACACACACGTATGAGTGTGTGTGTATATGTATATATATATATGTATGTGTATATATATGTATGTATATATGTGTGTGTGTGTATGTATATGTGTGTGTGTATATGTGTGTGTTATGTGTGTATATTTTTATATATATTGTATATATATATATATATTTTATATATATATATACATATATATATATCACATTCACATCAGTCCCTAACCCTCAAGGGGTGTACAATTTAAAGTCCCTAACTCACATTCATACACATACGAAGGCCAGTTTAGACAGGATCCAATTCACCTACCAGCATGTCTTTGGAGTGTGGGAGGAAACCGGAGTAATCGGAGGAAACCCACGCAGGCAGAGGGAGAACATGCAAACTCCAGGCAGGAGGTGCCGTGGCTGGGATTCGAACCAACGACCCTAGTGCTGCCAGGCGGAAGTGCTAACCATTTAGCCACTGTGCTGCCCCAGTGATGAATGGTTTGTCATCTGAGTACTCTGCTACATCTGCAGGACAGCTTGTTTTGTTGAAAAACAGACTTAAGGCCGGCCATCCATTATACAATTTTCTTGATATTTTTGGTTTAGATTTACCAAAAACTATATAATAGGAGGTCAAACCTAACAACACTTTCAATTGTATCCAATTAGGTGGGCTTTTGCACTACAAAGTTAAAGGTAAATCTAAAGGAAATTGGGCAGAAATTGGACAGAAAATTGTATAGTGTATGGCCGGATGAAAAAAGGAAAGCATGCCTAAAAAAACTAATGCATTCATCACGTCTAAGAATTGGTGGGCTGTAATATTATAATTTTGCTTTTGGGCTTAATACCACTTGAAGTAACACTCCTAGTTCTGCTCCCTCACCCAATCTGTGATTGGTCATTAAAAGGAGAAGCAGCAGACTGATGAGCCTATTTCTTTATGTCTCTGCTCTCCTCCTATCAGCACGTTCCTTGTTGACACGTGAGTATAGCAGGATAGCTGACACCAAGTCAAATTCAGCTTACTTACAATGCTTTTATTTTAAACATAAATCGCCAGCGCCAAAATTCGTACAAATTAATACTAAATATACAAATAAATGCTGCTGCTCATCAGTGCAAACACACACCAAAAAATATATAAAACATTAAAACAGCGCAAAAAGAATTTTAAATAAATACCACCGCAAAAAAAAATATATAACATTACAAGTCCCACTCCAAATTAGTGAAAAAAATATTAAAAATAATAAAAAAATCAAAATCAAAAAATATAAATATTTGTGAAAGTCCTCTTCCCAAAGAAATAAATCGTGCTTCCACCAAAAATAGTGCTCAAAAAACTATACCGCACTCACCAGATATTGGTGAAAAAACGCCTTTTAGGGGTTTTTTGGGATCCTAGATCCAGTCAGTGTACCTCCAGATATTCCTGGATTTCCCCCACTCCAAACCAGAATATATCCAGCATCCAACCTCCAGGATCAACAGACACCGCTCGCCAAGAAAACGCTCGGAATAATGTAGGGAAAAAACAAATATATAGCGCAATACTGCAACACTTGGTTATATTCAATTTTGTACCAAGCCACTCACATTCTTAATGAGCAAAATCAGCATTTTATTGCATTTAAAGGCTGATTTTTATAATTAATAATGATAATTTTTTATTATATAATAATTATTTCACTAATTTGGAGTGGGACTTATTATTTTATATATATATTTTTGCGCGGTGGTATTTATTTAAAATTCTTTTTGCGCTGTTTTAATGTTTTATATACTTACAGTGCTTGCATTAAAAAAAAAATGCATTTATTGATGAATGAACAAATACAGAGCTACATTAATTTCTTTGTTGTATCTGTCTGGAATTCAGTTTTAGAGTGGTTGTAAAGGCTCAAGGTTTTTTTTTACCTTCATGCATTCTGTGGGGTGGGGTCTGTGTGCTTCACTGTAAGCACACTGCTTTGGATGGCTGTGCTGTGCACAGCCATCCAAAGCAGTGTGCCCGAGCTGACAGGGAGGAGAGCTTTTAGTAAACAAAACAGTTCTCCCTGTCGGAGATCTTCAGTAATCACTGGGCGTCGGCGAGTAATCACCAGCTCGGACCCGGTGATTGACAACTGCAAATGGCGGTGCGGGTAGGACACGCGTGCGCCTCCTACTCAGAAATGCAAAATCACGTGTGTGTGTGTGTGTGTATATATACATGTTTATACACACCCGTGCCGCCCTGTAGCAGTATTTCTGCTATAGGGCGGTTGGTAAGCTGTTAAAAAAAAACCCTCTTTAATATCACGTTAAAGCGGAGTTCCACTCACCTGTCAAAAAATAAGTCAGCAGCTACAAAAACTGTAGCTGCTGATTTTTAAAAAAACAGCCACTTACCTTTCCCACGGTGTGTCCCCCAAAGCCCGTTTCACCGGCTGTCCTGTATTCCAGGAGGCCGGTATCTTCAGTGTGGGCACCCGGCTGTGATAGCTTGTGGCTTCACAGCCGGGTACCCACTGCACATGCCCCGAGTAGTGCTGCGCTTTATGAATGGTCCTGTAGTCTTCTTGGTCTTGTCACGTGTCCTAAAAGACTACAGGAAGGGAGGGAGGACACCTTCTGATAAGCCTAGGCGATCGGACTGGAAGTGGGGACGGGTACCTGTCAAATTCGGGTGCCAATCCTTAATGGGGAGCGGGGGAGCAGTCCTTTAAAGCATATCTTCCCCTTTTGGGTGGATCTCCGCTTTAATAATGCATATGAGTCCTTGTTATGTGTTTTTTTTTACATTTATCAAAGAGTAGTCACAAGTGCTATGTTTTCTAACACCAAGCTCCTTCCTGTAGGCGATCGTTGCAAGCAAAGCCAGCCAGTTCACAGGTTATGCCCAGCATGATGCCCAGGAGTTTATGGCTTTCCTCCTGGATGGGCTTCATGAAGATCTAAACAGGATTCAAAACAAGCCATACACTGAAACTGTGGACTCCGATGGAAGGCCGGATGAGGTACAGCCAATACTCTTGATTTCATTTAATAATCAATTTGCATTTGATGTAGTAACCTATTATCCGTTTCCTATGAATGTGGTAAACAGACTCTTGTGACTACATACAATGTCCAGGTTACATAGTTAGTCTGGCTAAAAAAGACAAAAGTCCATCCAGTTCAACCATAGAAAAAAAAAAAAAAAAGTTATAACCCTATACCCATCATTGATCCAGAGGCAGGCAAAAAAAAATCCGGCAAAGCACGATCCAAATTGCTCCTGCAGGGAAAAAATGTCCTTCCTGATCCCCCGAGAGGCAATCGGATATTCCCTGGATCAACTTTACCTATAAATGTTATATCCAGTTATATTCTGTGTATCCAAGAAAGAATCCAGGACTTTCCTACAGCAATCCACTGAGCTGGCCACAACCAACTCTTATTTGGTTTTTATTAAAGTACATGTGAAACCCTCATCATGCAAAACAACACGTGCAGTTTCAAAAAGAAACAAAAGGCAAAAGATATGAGGATATTTATCAAAAAATTATTATAGTGATCACAAACCCTTTATCAGCTGCATAAGTTGCTCAGAGTGCTAGGTCAGAGAATCGGCAGTACGGGGGTCTTCCCAGTGAATGTCTGTGCTTGGTGGGGTGTGTCAGGACATGTCTAATCATTGGAGGAGAGCAGCACAGCCATAAAACTGACCACGCTGTGCTCCCATTCCTAGTGTAGTCAGTTTTGGTAGGAAAGCAGAGGGACTGGCAGGAACACCAGGGATTTCACACAAAGGAAGCAATACATGGAGAACAGGATATTTTTTCATACAAGTACGTGATACAGCAAGCACATATCAGGAATATAAAATGTTGGAGTAACATATTCTTTAACACTGGGTCATTTCTCATATATATTACAGGCATTTGTATAGCGCCAACAAATTATAGAGCACTTTAAATGTTGTACATTCATTTCAGTCCCTGCCTTTCAGTTATTGTACAATCTCACCCCCGGTTCACACCTATGCGGCCATGCGGGCCGTGTTTTGCTCAGGCACAAGAGCCTATTCATTTGAATGGACTCCCATGCCTGAAGAAGTCCCTGCGCTACTTTGGAAAAACGCAGCCCGCACGGGAACCTCGGTTCCCAGTACCATTGCGTTTCCCAGTGCAAGCGGCGTGCCATTAGAACTAGCGGCACCACCTGCACAGATGTGAACTTAGGGTAAGGTCTCCATCTCACATGCGTACATACTTGCACATATAGAAGCCACTTAACCTACCAGCATGTCTGTGGAGTGTTGGAGGAAGGAAGCTGCGGAACCTGAAGGAAACCCACGGAAATACAGGGAGAACATGCAAACTCCATGCAGATGGTGTCCTGGCTGGGATTCTAACGCAGGACTTCAGGGCTACAAGGCAGAAGTGCCAATAACTAAGCCGCTGTGCTGCCCATAAACTGATACTTCTGGGGTGGATTACTTGGTGAGCTAAACTACCAAACTGTTTTGTGCATCTGTTGGTGACGGAGAAGTTCTGAAAACTGCAACATGCGCAAAAAGGGATCCAATCTCCCTGTTTTATTCTTTTTTTCAGTTGTTTTTGTAATTTTTTTGTGTTTTTAGGTTTTTTTAGTTCGCTTTTGGGTTTTTTTTTTGTGTTTTTTTAGTTTTTAGTTGTGTTTTTTTTTGTTTTAGTTATTTTACTTTTTGGTTTTGTTTTTAGGTTTTGTTTTTTTGTTTTTGTTTGCTTTTTTTTTAGTTTTTGGGGTTGTTTTTTTTTTGTTTTTTTTTTTTTTTGTAGGGGTTTTTTAAAAATTTTTTAGGGTATTTGGTTTTCAGGTTTTTTTTTTTTTGTTTTTTGTTTTGTTTTTAAGGGGTTTATTTTTTGTAGTGTTTAGGGTTTTTTTTTAGTGTTTTTTGTTTGTAATTTGTTTTTTTTTAATTTATATATATATATATATATATATATATATATATATATATATATATATATATATATATATATATATAAATAAATACATTACATTGAGTTTATATAGCGCCAAAGGGTTTGCTCAGCGCTGTACAATAGGGGGGGACGGGACAATACATGAAACAGTACAGCAACAACAAACAGCACACGAGGGGTTAGGGGGCCTACTCTTTCGAGCTTACAATCTAGGAGATTGTATTATTATTATGAAGGGTACAGCAAAAGAGATGGGACCACCCTCGGATGGGATGCAGATCCCAAAACGCCAAGGTGGGAGGGGACAGTGAGAAGCTATGGACAGGCAAGCTTACCAAGCCACCAGACATTTTGTAAGCTCCCAGAGTATGACGAGTACTAACATACACAGAGGGGTTAGGAGTGAATTTGATGAGATTATTCTTAGCAGCTGTAGCAGTGTCAGTATGTCAGTATAGCAGTTAGGGGGCTTCTAAATTAAGACTGTTCTCTACCCATTGAGGGGCCTTGGGTAAAAAAAAGATTTGAAGCGCCAAAAAGGACAAATCAAGTGCAATCGATCAACTTTCATAAGTTGATAGGCAATAGGAAGAATGTATTGAAACTGACGCAAAAGGAATCTAGAGCAGCTGTGCATGGCAACCAATCAGTTTTCATCTTCAGCTTGCTCAGCTGAAGTGGTTGTAAACCTCAGACATGAAATATGAACAAAGCATATCCCTCTATAGTGTGTACTTGTCTCATTCCAGAGCACAAAGTGTCATTTCTTTCTACCGCCTCCTTCCTCTGCTATAAGCATGAGTCACTTCTGACAAATATTTACTGAGACAAAGAGAAAAAAGGTGAAAGGGGAGGGCACAGCCCGTGATTGACAGCCTCGGCTCTGTTCCTGTGTGCTGTATGAAAGGGGTGTGACCCTTCCCTCCAATCGGCTCTCAGGGCAACCTGTTACTTGCAGAATGTGTTGGATATCAACTGATCATTTACACCTAACTGACTATCAGGAAGTTCAACATTCGCCACTGATAACAGAAATAATTCTTTTGGTTGTGCTGACTCGTCAATCAGTCCAACATCCACCGCTGATGAGGGGAAAATACCTTTTTTCACTCCATAAGACCGCCTAGGTTTTAGGAGAAAAACAAGAAAAAAAAATATTCTGAACCAATGGACTGCAGACACAGTACAGGAAATGACCAGAGACTGCAGACACAGTACAGGAAATGACCAGAGACTGCAGACACAGTACAGGGGATGACCAGAGACTGCGGACCCCCTACTGTACAGGGATGACCAGAGACTGCAGACACAACAGGGGATGACCAGTCTGCCCAGTACAGGGGATGGGTGTGACACAGTACAGGGGATGACCAGAGACTGCGGACACAGTACAGGGGATGACCAGAGACTGCGGACACAGTACAGGGGATGACTCGGAGTACAGGGGATGGCCAGAGACTGCGGACACAGTACAGGGGACACAGTGCAGGGGATGACCAGAGACTGCGGACACAGTGCAGGGGATGACCAGAGACTGCGGACCTTTGGGGAGGAAGGGGGAACGGGTACCTAAATTTGACAGGTCCCCGCTCCCCACTTCCGCGGAGTTGTCCTTCCTTCTTCCCGCGGCGGCTTCTGTGACAGCCGGGTGCCCACTGCGCATGTGTGAGAAGCGCTAACTTTTGAATGGCCCGGCGCCCTCTGGGACCTCTCGTGTCCCAGAAGACGCCGGACCATTCACAAAGCGCAGCACTTCTCACCGCATGCGCATGGGCACCTGGTTGTCACAGAAGCCACCGTATAAAGACTGCAGCGCTGGAGCGGGAACAGGTAAGGTCCTGCTGGAGAGAAGAGCTGAGCGGCCGGCCCAATATTCTGACATGGTGGCGGCAGAAATACCGGACCAGCCGCTTTACACAACCATAAGACGCACTGACATTCCCCCCCCAAAAATGCGTCTGATGGAGCAAAAAATAGGTAGATCTTTTGGATTGACTGACCCTTTAAGTGCTAAGAGCATGGATCTTTCGCAACCAGGGGCGGACTGACAACTCATGGGGCCCCTGTGTCCTTGCCCACACTCAAAGTACACCCAAAAAAAGCCTATAAGAGGTACCAGGGGCATCTCATGGGTCCCCCAACTGTCCCCTTGCCCTCGAATGGTCAGTCCACCTCTGTTCACAACAGATATTGGTTAGGAGGATTTACTCATGAAGAAGCTGTAGATAGAAATTTTTTTTTTTTTTTTTTTTGTTTCCCTTTTTACTGCCAGTAATTTTCCAGGTGGTGTTGAACTTGCATTCCATTATTTCCTGACAGGAGGTCGCTGATGAGGCCTGGCTGCGGCATAAGATGAGGAACGACTCCTTTGTGGTCGATCTTTTCCAGGGCCAGTATAAGTCTAAGCTGGTTTGTCCTGTCTGTGCTAAGGTGGGTTAATGCTGCAAGTGAAACCAATTTTTGCCTATGCCCCTTAATGTGGCTTGTCTCGGATGTGTCCTTTTTTTTCCTATTTTATAAATAAAAAAAAAAAAAAAAATACTTTGATGCATTTGCTTTGATGAAAACTGGCCCCTGTTACCATTCTTCATTCCCTCAATGACTGTGTGCTGTCCTATGGGACTTCACACAGGCTGCAGCTGGAGAGAGCACTGATGCTGCTAAAATTTGGCCTGGACATCCAGACATTGACTGGGCTTGAAGGGTTCGCTTTTTGATAATACTTTTTGGTATAAAACAGAATGTGTTTTTCCTTTTAATTTAGCCATGCAGTCTGACACACAGTATGTGCACACTCATTATGAGTTGATATTCTGGTTTTGGTTGTAATGGAAGAATGTTTAAAAGACCTTTTTGAATTCCTGACAAAGTTGTTTGTATTATACAGGTGTCTATTACATTTGATCCCTTCCTGTACCTACCGGTTCCTTTACCCCAAAAGCAGAAGGTCCTTACAGTCTACTATTTTGCAAAGGAGCCACACAAGAAACCCATTAAGGTGAGACTTCTCATAGACACTGTGCTGTGATATTAACCCCCCCCTGGCGGTATTCCCGAGTGTAGCTCGGGGTAAAGTTTCAGCACCACAAGCGGTAACCCCCCCGAGCTACACTGCAACGTTGCTCAGGGATTCCCTGCAGCACTTACCTTGTCCTGCGCTCCCGCAATGTCCCCCGTGCAGCGTCCCCGGCCATCTCCTCCTGCCGATGCCGGCATCCGTCTTCTGGGTTCCGGTCCCTGCGAGTGACGGGACGTACGGGGGCCGGAACTGGTGGGAGATTTGAAAATTTTAAAAAGTGACATTCACTACATACACTAAAATCACATAGTATAACATTCCTGTATCAAACCATTTCACATACATTTTGTCCCGAGTGCTTTGTCCAGCGCCCTGCCTGCATTTTTACTGTTCTTTCTGCCTGGAAACTGAGAAAAATCCATGGCCAGGGGTGGACTGACAACTCATGGGGCCCCCTGGCAATAGGGAATCATGGGGGGCCCCTGTGTCCTTGCCCAAACTCAAAAAAGCCTATGAAAAAAGGTACCAGGGGCATCTCATGGGACCCCCTACTGACCCCGGGCCCTCGGGCAGTGCCCGAGTTTCCAAATGGTCAGTCTGCCCCTGTCCATGGCGTCCTGTGCCCTGCCTGCATTTTTACTGTTCTTTCTGCCTGGAAACTGAGAAACGTCCATGGCGTCCAAAAAGCGTCCCTTTAGGCCAAAAGCGGTTTTAGACCGGCTAGAGAACAGCGATAGTAAATCAGAACCACTTGCAGCATTGAGTGATAATGATTCGTGGGGGAAATTCCTCATCAGACACTGAAAACGATTCTGCGACTTTGCTCAGCGATGTGTGAACTTGGCGCTCTATTTCACATTTCAGTGTTTTTGGTTTGATTATATTATTGAATTAAATTTATTTTATTTTTATGATTATTAAATTTATAATTTTGTGTTTCAAGTTTTATCATACCCGGGTTGTTTACTAGACTCTTGTTCGGACAGATTTCAGTTATTCCTAAAAATTACAGGCCTACAATAAAAAAAAACATATTTCCATGCAAAAAAATGTACCGCTTTGAGCACAGAAATACTGACATAATCAGTCCGCTAGGGAGGCTACAGTGGACCTGTTACCAGCGAAGAGTGTGGTCAGTCATTTGTGCATCAAATTTAAATTCATTCAACCAGTTCATTAAGCCCTTATGTCGCCATCGTCCCGTCCCCCCTCCACTCCACATTTGACACCTACGACTTTATGCAAGTTATCATTTAATGGCATTCTTAGGAATACTGATCCACGTAGGTGTGAAATGCAATAAATATATGTTGAATAAATACCGTGGCACAATCTAACCCAGGGGTGGGCAAACTTTTTGACTTGAGGGCCGCAATGGGTTCATATATTGGACCAAGAGTAGATGAATGATGTGTATGTGTCATCCATCAAGTATAGTAATATTCCCCCACAGTAAGCATAGTAATTCATCCCCCCTATAGTAATTCATCCCCCATATAGTAATTTCATCCCCATAGTAATTCATCCCCCCCTATAGTAATTCATCCCCCATATTAGCCCCCCCTGTGTCAATTCACTTACCTTTCCTCTCGCCGTGTCCCGCGCCGTTCTGGTGTAGCATGAAAATCTGTCTCCTATGAGGATCTGTCCCCCTCGACGTATCTGCGCATGTGCCAGTTTCAGGCAATTAGCAGCCGATCGGCGATCTCCGGCACATGCGCAGATACGTCGAGGGGGAAGATCCTCATAGGAGACAGATTTTCATGCTGCATCTTCAGGGCGGACTGTGAGAGGATACCATGCGAGCCGGATTTCAGGTCCGCCGGGCCGTAGTTTGCCCATTGCTGGTCTAATCGGTTCTTTTTACACCTATTTGCAGTTTTTGGTCAGCATCAGTAAAGAGAACTCCAGTGCTTCAGATGTCCTCGAGTCCATCTCTCAGAGCGTGAGAGTTAAGATGGAAAACCTGAGGTTAGCTGAGGTAAGACGAGACCTAGTCTAAAGCTGCCCTCACACACTGCAATCTTACTGAGCTTTAGCCCTGGTTCACACTGAATGCATCTTTGAAAAAAGTGAATATAATTTACAGTACTTTCCTATATAATTACTAAAGCTTGCAGCATAAGGATTACAAATAGTCAATGTTGATGGAGCGGGTAACTTCCATTTTAAATATCTGATTAAGAAAAAATGGTATTACATGTACTGTGCCACATTACAGATTGTTTTGCCCTTCTCTTAGGTAGCGAAACACCGCTTCCACCGCATGTTCAGGCCGTCTTGCTCTGTGGACTCGGTCTCTCCATCAGATGTACTCCTGTGTTTTGAGGTTCTGTCCCCGGAACTTGCCAAGGAGCGTGTCCTTGTGCTGCAGGTCCAGCAGGTATGCCATAGTTTCACAGCTTACCCTGTGATGTTTTCACTCTATGAATAGACAATGAAGTCCTTAACCACTTCCCGGCCATAGTCAAAATATGTCCTCGGTTCGAAGTGGGTCAGGGCTGCAGCAATGTGCCGTAACCCCGTTTCAGCCAGCAATTCCCTTTCTGTTAAAAGTGATCCTAGCAGCAGATTCGCCGCTGGATCACTTTAAGAAGTGGTGGTAGGGGTCAACACTCCACCCCCCTTCTGCCACTTTTAGGTGGATCTCTGGCTTACCTGGATGATCGTTGAGCCAAGAACTGATCTCACAATTGCAGTAGCTGGGCATAGAGATGAGTGAAGGAAAGATGGCCTCCACTCATCTCTATGGCCCAGGAAGACCGGAGAAATGTCATTGCGTCACTTCCAGTTTTGTCCTAATGTAAAGTCCTTTTTTTTTTTTTTTTTTTTTTTTTTTTTTTTTTCGAATGCTTTACATTGTAGAGGAGAGATGTGGGGATTGATCTCTCCATAAAGAGGACCTGTCCTGCTTATTTCTATTACAAGTGAGGTTTACATTCCATGTGATACTAATAAAAGTGAGCAAAACATATATATATTTTTTTTTTTTTAGGACAGCGTAAAAATTAAAAGTAAAATTAAAAAGTAAATAAAAAATTTAAAGCACGCTCGAACATTCCATTCCCCCCTCCGTGCGCACTCATACATACGTAGGTTACACCCACATACGTAAACTGTGTTCAACTACACATGTGAGGTATCGCCGTGAACATCGGAGTGAGAGCAATAATTCTAGCACTGGATCTCCTCTGTAACCCTAAACTGGTAACCTGTAGAAATTTTTAAAGCATCACTTATGGAAATTAACTATTGTAGTTTGCCGCCATTCCATGAGCGTGCGCAGTTTTAAAGTGTGACATGTTGGGTATCTATTTACTCAGCGTAACATCATTTTTCATATCTTACTAAAAAATTTATATATATATATATATATATATATATATATATATATTAGTGTTGTTTTTTTTGTTTTTAGTGTATTTTTTCCCACAAAAATTGTGTTTGAAAAATTACTGCGCAAATAACGTGACATAAAAAAAAATTGCGGTGACTGCTATTTTATCCTCTAGGGCATGGGTGTCAAACTGGTGGCCCTCCAGCTGTTGGCAAACTACAGGTCCCATGATGCATTGCAAGATTGATTGTTACAAGCATGACTCTCAAAAGCAGAGGCATGATGGGACTTGTAGTTTCGCTACAGCTGAAGGGCTGCCAGTTTGACACCCCTGCTCTAGGGCCTCTGCTACAAAAAATGTTTACTATTTGGGGGTTCTAAGTAATTTTCTAGTAAACACATTGATATTTACATATGAGTTGCAGAATTGGCCTGGGAAGGAGGTGGTTAGAGTGTACCTGTATTCGGTACACTAGACCGAACGAGAGGAGAACATGAGCTTACCCGAACCATCTTTTTCTGATCTAGTTCTTCTATCCGTGGTAATCAATGTCGTGTCCTTTGAAGAAAAAGTGATTTGATGAATTAGATGTAGGTGCATGGTAATCTTTCTTCATCCATTCTGTGCAGCGTCCCCAGGTTCCTAGCATCCCAATCACCAAATGTTCTGCGTGTCAGAAGAAACAGCTGTCTGAAGAGGAGAAACTAAAGCGGTGTACCAGGTGCTATCGGGTTGGATATTGCAACCAGTGAGTGTGTTGTCTTTCTTGATCTGATCATAGTGATTACCTGTACAGTAAAACCCATACACGTAAAGTTTTTTTCGGAAACTGATCTTCGCTGTCCTTCTAGGGCCTGCCAGAAAACTCACTGGCCCGAACACAAAATTGCTTGCCGACCTGAAAATATTGGGTACCCGTTCCTAATCAGCGTCCCCGAGTCTCGTCTGACCTACACCCGCCTGGCACAGCTACTTGAGGGTTATGCAAGGTGAAATGTCTCTTAATTGTACTACAAGGGCCTTCTCTATTCTGTTGTGTTAATGGTAACATTCAAGCTGAACTGCAGCCTTCCCTTCAGTTTCTGAAATGGCGTACTCAGATTTTACTGCACACTGCGAGCTTCTCAGTCTGCATCAGCAGCTGCAAGAAGTCGGAGCTTGCTTAACCACTTGTCCTCCACACTATAGCAGAAGTAGTGCTACAGGGCGGCAGGACTACGCACAATCACGATTTGCATCTCCAGGTAGGGGGCACGTGCGCATTCTACACGGGTGCATTCTACACGCACCACTATTGGTGGCTAGAGATCTCAATCACCGGGTCCTGGCTGGCATTCGGCGATCGTAGAGAAAAGCTGACGGGAGAGACCTGTGTGTACACAACACAGGTCTCTCTCCTGTCAGCATGGACATGCTGATTTTAATCTCTCTGCACAGCAGAAAGATACAAAGCAGCATGTCTCCCAAGTGGCACACCATGAAACGCACACAGTTAACCCTTTGATCGCCCTCGGATGTTAACCCCTTCCTGCCCAGTGTCAGTAGTACAGTGCCAGTGCTTTTTTATTACCACTGTATTAGTGTCACTAGGGATGTCAGTGGCAGTTAGTTCCCACCCAGTGTCAGAATGCCTCCCGCAGTCCCGCTATAAGTCGCTGATCACCGCCATTGCAAGTATTAAAAAAAAAAAAAATAAAATAAAATTCCAGTGTGTGTGTATATGCATATATATGATTGTGTATATATGTATGTATGCATATGTGTGTGTGTGTGTGTGTGTGTATGTATATATATATATATATATATATATATATAATATGTATATGTGTGTGTGTGTAACGCCATTTTGTAGACGCTATAACTTTCACGTAAACCAATAAATTTCCACGTATTGGGAATTTTTTATTTCTTTAGCAAAGACAAATACATTTTGGCCTAAATTTTATGAAGAAATTTTATTTATTTTATTTTTTTTTTCATTGGACAGGTTTTATAGTAAAAAGTAAATATTGTTTTTTGTTTTTTTGTTTTTTTTCAAAATTGTCAATCTTTTTTTTTTGTTTTATAGCGCAAAAAAATAAAAAATGTAGAGGTCATCAAATACAACTGAAAGCTCTATTTGTGGGGAAAAAAAGAAATAAATTTCATTTATGTACAGGGTTGCATGGCTGCGCTATTGTCAGTTAAAGTAACGCAGCGCCGTATTGCAAAAAATGCCCTGGTCAGGAAGGGGGGGAAATCCTCAGGAGGGCAAGTGGTTAAAGTGTTTCTAAAGGGAGAATGTTTTTTACCTTCATGTATTCTAAGCAAGAAGGTAAAAAACGCTTTATTGTGCAGCTACCACCTTATACTTACATGAGCTCCATCTCCAGCAATGTGCATCCTGGGCCTCTCTCTCCTCATTGGCTCACACAGCAGCAGGAGCCATTGGCCGAGCTGCGCTCTGTGAATGGACAATGTCCATTCTCAGGAGCGCAGAGCGGAAGCAAGCCTGCTCGAGTCCCCCCTATAACAAGAGACTTCCTATGGAGGCACTTGACAGGGAGGAGGAGCCAGGACTGCCGGTGCAGGACCCAAATAGAAGAGGATTGGGACTTCTCTGTGCAAAACTAAAAAAAAAAAGATTTTACCTTTTTAGAATCCCATTTAATTTCCTAACAGGATAATTTCCAGCATCATCTAGCCCTATCCACCTCAGCCTTATGGTCCCTAACCCACCCCTTTCATTCATTGGATTTCAGATCTTGGAGGCTCCGCATCAGAAGTGGGAGTCTTCATGCATATACAGGTCACTATATGATTGGATGCAGGGGTAGACTGACCATTTGGAAACTCGGGCACTGCCCGGGGTCAGTAGGGGGCCACATGAGATGCCCCTGGTACCTTTTTTCATAGGCTTTTTTTGAGTTTGGGCAAGGACACGGGCCCCATGATCCCCTATTGCCCGGGGGCCCCATGAGTTGTCAGTCCGCCCCTGATTGCATGCAAAACAAAAACTTGATTCAGGAAAATTTTAGTTTTCAGAGCCCCTTCCATCTGTAGATAATGGTGTGTCTGTTAAATACTATAATTGATACAATTATACGGTGAAAAAATAAATAAGGTGGCATAAGCCATCTGTTGAGGCTCAGAAAACATGTTTATTTTCACCCCTAAATCAATGTGTGTTTTTGCTTTCTTCTAGATATTCAGTAAACGTGTTCCAGCCTCCATTCCTCCCGGGCAGAATGTCCCCAGAACAGCCTCCACAACCACTAAATGCAGAGAAGGCAGAGTCCTCCGTGGCACAGTCTAGTTGCACATACCTAGGAGAGCCACAGGAGGATGACCGAGTGTCTGCGCTGCTGTCCCTGGGGTCTTCCCCCTGCCACACAGCACAGACAGAGGCGGCGGGAGAGGACGGTGCTCAGGGGAAGACGTGTGCAGACAGGCACTCTTTCGTCAGCACGGACTCTGGGTTTTCTGAGCAAGCCTCAGACACTTTAAGGGAATTTGATTCGGGGGGAGAAAAAGAAACATCGTATGAAAAATCTGTTAAACCCGAAGGTTTGTATCGTGGGGATTGTAGAATTGTGGCTTTGTGCATCATTTTCTGCTTTTATAACGTGTGGGAAATGTTTGAGTGTCTATTGAGGTTTGTATCTTCTTTGGGAGGATTTATTGTTTTTTGTCATCCTGGGTCATTGAGATTGAGAGGAAACTGCAATAACGACCCGCCTTTCCCTCATCTGTTCTCCATACAAACACCTTAAGAGATGTCCACTCATTTCCTGTTCTAGTGAAGTTTCCTTGAGGGCTCGTTCACACCATAGTGCAGAGACGTCAGTTTTTCTGCACGCGTCCTGCAAGGGCACAATGAAATCAATTGTTCTCTGTTCACAACACTATTATGAGGTGCAGATTTTTTTCTGCGCAGCAATTTGCAACGTGTATCTCTCTCCAGAGAGAGAGAGATCATATTACCCCCGGTACAAATCATTAGTAAGACCTCATCTGGAATATGCAGTTCAGTTTTGGGCACCAATTCACAAAAAGAACATTGGGGAACTGGAGAAAGTACAGAGAAGGGCAACCAAACTGATACGAGGCATGGAGGAGATCAGCTATGAGGAAAGATTAGAGGAACTGAATGTATTCTCTACTGAGAAGAGGAGATTAAGGGAGGATATGATCTCCATGTATAATACATAAGGGGGGATATGATCACATGTATAATACATAAGGGGGATATGATCTCCATGTATAATACATAAGGGGGGATATGATCACATGTATAATACATAAGGGGGGATATGATCTCCATGTATAATACATAAGGGGGGATATGATCTCCATGTATATAAGGGGGGATATGATACATAAGGGGGGATATGATCTCCATGTATAATACATAAGGGGGGATATGATCTCCATGTATAATACATAAGGGGGGATATGATCTCCATGTATAATACATAAGGGGGGATATGATCTCCATGTATAATATATAAGGGGGGATATGATCTCCATGTATAATACATAAGGGGGGATATGATCTCCATGTATAATACATAAGGGAGGATATGATCTCCATGTATAATACATAAGGGGGGATATGATCTCCATGTATAATACATAAGGGGGATATGATCTCCGTGTATAATACATAAGGGGGATATGATCTCCGTGTATAATACATAAGGGGGGATATGATCTCCATGTATAATACATAAGGGGGGATATGATCTCCATGTATAATACATAAGGGGGGGATATGATCTCCATGTATAATACATAAGGGGGATATGATCTCCGTGTATAATACATAAGGGGGGATATGATCTCCATGTATAATACATAAGGAGGGATATGATCACCACGTATAATACATAAGGGGGATATGATCTCCACGTATATATACATAAGGGGGGATATGATCTCCACGTATAATACATAAGGGGGGATATGATCACCATGTATAATACATAAGGGGGGATATGATCTCCATGTATAAATACATCAGTGGTTCATATAGTGAACTCGGTGTAGAGCTATTCCCCCTGAGGTCATCACAGAGGACAAGGGGGCTCTTTATGTCTGGAGGAAAAGAAATTTAATCTCCAAACACGGAAAGGTTTCTTCACAGTTAGAGCTGTGAAAATGTGGAATAGACTCAAGAGTTGGTTGTGGCCAGCTCAGTGGATTGCTTCAAAAAAGGCCTGGGTTGTTTCTTAGATACACAGAATATAGCTGGATATAACATTTATAGGTAAAGTTGATCCAGTGAATATCCAATTGCCTCTCGGGGGATCAGGAAGGAATTTTTTTTCCCAGCAGGAGCAAATTGGATTGTGTTTTGCTGGGGTTTTTTTCCTTCCTCTGGATCAACTGTGGGCATAGGATTATAACTTTTTTTTTCTATGGTTGAACTGGATGGACTTTTTTGTCTTTTTTTCAGCCAGACTAACTATGTATAAAACTCATTGAAGCATTCATATAATCTGATGTCTCTGCAAGTGAAATTTGCACGTCTGTTTCCATCAGCTTTTCTGCATCTATGGTGTGAACGAGTTCTGAAGCGATGGGAAAAAAAAAAAAAAAAAAAATCTTAGTCGCTTTTAGGATTTCCCATGATCTTTTGTCCTGAGCATCACAGTCAGAGACAGGAAGTGATGGGAAGTCTCCCAAGTGGGTACACAGAGAAACACACCCAGAACTACGCACTGAACACACTGTATAGGCAAGCTTTGGGAACTGAAGGCAACAGCATTGTGTGAGAAATGACCGCAATAGGGGACACCGATAATTGGCAGTCTGTAGACCATCAGACAGGGCTGAGAGTGGTCAGTGCAACAGTGGCAGCAGTGTGCCAAGACAGGAAAATGTCCTACTGGATTTCTGGATGAGCAACAGGAACTTTTCTGTACTTGCCGCATTTCTTAAAGGTATGCAACATTGCTAAATGCAACCTTATAGATGAGATGTATTGAATGTCTTTTTTTTTTTCCTCCAAGCACTTTTTCAGTTAATAATTAGACATACATAGCAAAATGGCCTGTGTGCAACTTAGGGGGGCTGTATAGTGTTCATCAATGCATAGGTCTAGAACTGAGTTTTTAATGTGTTTTTTTTTTTTTTTTTTTTTTTTTTTTTTTTTTTACCAGCTGCTGTCCCTGGTTACCAACAATCAATGGAGCTTTCAAGTTCCCACGCTGCTCTGTTTTTCATCTACCATATTGACTCCTCGGGAAGAGAGGTGAAGCTGGAGGACAAAGGTTTGTTCTGTTCTTAGTGATAAATTGCCTGCAGAGCTTAAAATTGTAGCTTATGGAGCTCTCTTATTGCTGAGAGGTGCTGACCAGAAACATTGCTTTGTTAGCCTGGTTTTATGGAACCCTTGGGTTCCTCCAAAAGGTTGCTAGGGGTTCCTTGATCATGGAGCAGTTTCTACTGCTACCACTGATATCAAGGATTTTATTTTTTTTTTTTTTAGCTGTCTGAAGCAGGAGGACATTTTTTGCAGTGACAACCAATGTAAGTAATATTCTTCCCAATGACCACCAGTGTAAGGCGTGTTCTTCCCAGTGGCCACCAGTGTAAGGCGTGTTCTTCCCAATGACCACCATTGTAAGGCGCGTTTTTCCCAATGACCACCAGTGTAAGGCGTGTTCTTCCCAATGACCACTAGTGTAAGGCGTGTTCTTCCCAATGACCACCATTGTAAGGTGCGTTTTCCCAGTGACCACCATTGTAAGGCGTGTTCTCCCAAATGACCATCATTGTAAGGTGTGTTCTCCCAAATGACCATCATTGTAAGGTGTGTTCTCCCAAATGACCATCATTGTAAGGCGTTTTCTTCCCAATGACCACTAGTGTAAGGCCTTCCCAATGACCACTAGTGTAAGGCGTGTTCTTCCCAATGACCACTAGTGTAAGGCGTGTTTCTTCCCAATGATCAATGACCACTAGTGTAAGGCGTGTTCTTCCCAATGACCACTAGTGTAAGGCGTGTTCTTCCCAATGACCACTAGTGTAAGGCGTGTTCTTCCCAATGACCACTAGTGTAAGGCGTGTTCTTCCCAATGACCACTAGTGTAAGGCGTGTTCTTCCCAATGACCACTAGTGTAAGGCGTGTTCTTCCCAATGACCACTAGTGTAAGGCGTGTTCTTCCCAATGACCACCAGTGTAAGGTGTGTTCTTCCCAATGGCCACCTATGTAAGGGGCATTCTTTCCACCGACCACCAATGTAAGGGGAATTCTTTCCACCGACCACCAATGTAAGGGGGCATTCTTTCCACCGGCCACCAATGTAAGGGGCATTCTTTCCACCGGCCACCAATGTAAGGGCATTCTTTCCACCGACCACCAATGTAAGGGGAATTATTTCCACCGGCCACCAATGTAAGGGGGCATTCTTTCCACCGGCCACCAATGTAAGGGGGCATTCTTTCCACCGGCCACCAATGTAAGGGGGCATTCTTTCCTCCGGCCACTAATGTAAGGGGGCATTCTTTCCACCGGCCACCAATGTAAGGGGGCATTCTTTCCTCCGGCCACTAATGTAAGGGGGCATTCTTTTCACCGGCCACCAATGTAAGGGGGCATTCTTTCCTCCGGCCACCAATGTAAGGGGGCATTCTTTCCTCCGGCCACCTATGTAAGGGGGCATTCTTTCCTCCGGCCACCTATGTAAGGGGGCATTCTTTCCACCGGCCACCAATGTAAGGGGGGATTCTTTCCACTGGCCACCAATGTAAGGGACATTCTTCCCACTGACCCCCAATGTAAGGGGAATTCTTTCCACTGACCACCAATGCAAGGAGCTTTCTTGCTGTCCACCACACTAATATTCTGTGTGAACTGTCTACGTAGTGTAAATATTGGCAGAGGTTCCCTTAGACCTGAAAGTTTTACACAGTCTCAACTCTTTACATACATACAAAGTGATATTTAAATAAATCTTTTCCTTCACGTGGGGTCAAGACCAAAAAATATAGTGCTACATAAGCAGACCCTTTTAGTGAGACCCATCTATTAAAGCTGAACTCTAACCCAGTGTTTCTCAACCTTTTTTCAGTCGAGGCACCCTTTAAAATTAAGGACAGCCGCGAGGCTCCCCATTCTAAAATGTGAAAAACTATTCCAATAGTTTTATCTAACGCAGCAACATCCACACATGTAGGACACCCAACATTAGAGGTGATTTATTCTTCCAAAGCAAATACACTTTTGCACACTGGTACTGACTACTATTCCCATGTTTCTCCTCTCCCTCAGTTTTTCTCCATCACTGAGCTAATGTGACCCCAGCACTGATGGAGATGGGCGGGGGAGGGTCAAACTAGGATGCTGTGCAGCCAGCTGACATCCTCCTTATCAACTGATTGTCATTGGTTGTCAGGATGCTGGCGGCTAGGAGGTCGCAATGGTGCACAATGAAAACCTGGGGCTTTGTGTAACTAAAAGGCGGGCTTGTTCCACCCACTGGCTTGTAGACAAGTTTTGGGCAATTTTTAGACATTTTGCCAAGGCACCCCTGAAGAAACCTCAAGGCACCCCTGGGTGCCTGGGCACCCAGATTGAGAAAGACTGCTCTAACCATTCACAAGGAATGGGCAATCTCATTGATACATTTGTATGCCATCTGTTTTGCCCGCAGTCTTTGCTTACAATTTTCACACCCACCTCTTCTTTTTTTTTTTTTTTTTTTTTTCTTCCCAGGTGACTGTGCCCTGGATCTGTCTGAAGACAGCTCGCTGGCTTTGGTGTGGAAGAACAACGAGCGCATGAAGGAATTTGTGCTGGTGGAATCGAAGGATCTGGAATGCGATGAAGATCCATCATCTGCCAGTGAAGCTGCTAGAGTTGGCCTGTTCACCTTGGAGCAGTGTCTCAACCTCTTCACTAAGCCTGAGGTCCTGGCCCCGGAAGAAGCCTGGTGAGTATGATGTGGAGTTCTCAGATTCTGATGTCTTTGAATTATCTTCATCAGTTGTCATAAAGCCCCACCAAACCTTCAATTTTAAATCCGTTAAATACATCCCAAGGGCATCCCAACTTTCTTTAGAAAGCAGTCACAGCCCGAATAGAAAGCCCTGCCAGTGTGCTGTAGTCACAGTTTTGCAGTCAGAGGTCATGCTCCCTGCTGATTGGAGAGCTATAGATGTGGGATTTAGCAGGGGGTGTTTTGGACCTTTGCAGAGAGATCACTGCTTGCACACAGAGCAACGGTCCACAATGCACTGCTTTCAGATGTTTGCATAGCCATGAATTGCGGTAAAACACGCAACATTACCACAACACACAGGTCTCTGAGACTTTTTTTTAAACTTTTAATAGTTTTTATGTTTTTGTGTTTTACCTAATTTAATTTGTAGCATGTGGGGTCTGTCAAGCCCCCCTTAGTTGATGGTGACACAGGTACTTCTTGTGTAGATATCAGGGGTTTATTTAGACCCCTGATGCCTTTTCTGCCTTGGCCAGTACGATCAAGTGACGCAGAACCCCCTATTCGCGGCTTAGCAGCACGGAGGACAGGGTCTGACAGCTCTGAATCCAGAAGTGCACAGAGCTGAGTGCTTCTTGGTTCATCTTGTCTATAAGATATCAGTAAAAGGAAGTTGCAATCTCCTTTGGGACCTCAGAGTGGGAGTTGGAGCAAATTCAGGATTTTTTTTTTCTTGCTGGGCAAATGCAGCCATGAGCAGCACCTGGCAGAAAACTTCAGGGGAGAACACTGTATGGCCTGTTATTCTACTAGGACATTGATGAATGCAGCATAATTGTGGTGCTGCAATCATTTTATCTTGGGGAACTGGAGAAAGTACAGAGAAGGGCAACCAAACTGATAAGAGGCATGGAGGAGATCAGCTATGAGGAAAGATTAGAGGAACTGAATTTATTCTCTACTGAGAAGAGGGGATTAAGGGGGGATATTATCTCCATGTATAATATATAAGGGGGATATGATCTCCATGTATAATACATAAGAGGGGATATGATCTCCATGTATAATACATAATGGGGGATATGATCTCCATGTATAATACATAAGGGGGGTATGATCACCATGTATAATACACAAGGGGGGATATGATCTCCGTGTATAATACATAAGGGGGGATATGATCTCCGTGTATAATACATAAGGGGGGATATGATCTCCATGTATAATACATAAGGGGGGG